TGTATTTGTGCATGTGATCTTCTTTATGACTCCAAGGCTTCTGTCTTGAGAGCCTAAATGGACAGGATGTTGATTAAAATTTGGAAGAGGAAGAGCAGTTTGGTGAGAAGTTCGGTTTTGGTCTTGTTAATTTTGAGATGCTGGGGGAAATTTAGATGGTCTGTTTCCTGGGTAGTTAAGAGTTTAGAGAGGCTCCAGGGAGCCTCTGACCTGGAGAGAAAATTTTAGTAATAATTAGCATATATGTAACTTGAAGCATAGGACCTGGACTCATACCTATATTTAAATCTTGGCTCAGACACTAATTATCTGTTTCTCTTTATGTAAAATGGGATAATATCTAACCCAGGATCTTTGTTAAGGATTCAGTGAAAAACTAGAAAGCACTTAGCACATTGTCTGAGTTCAAAAAGTGACAAAATTGTCATTAGCTATTATTATTAGATTACAACACAGACTTATAAACAAACTCCATTATAACAAAAAGCAGTTTTTAAAAATGGGATTCACTTAAATGTTATCTGAAACGCATTTGAATGGCAGACTTGTTTGTCAAGTATGGTTTGGTGCCCACGAGGCAGCATGGTGCATGCGTTATGCCACCTGGCTAGCGAGACCTCAGTGCATTAGTGCCAGGAATGAAAGATACAAGTCGATGTCAGAGACTTTCTGGTAGGCGACTTATCTCCAGGGCAGCAACCCAGGTATAAATAACCTACTCCTTCCTCTCCTTAAAATAAACATCTTAGGAAAAGCATTATCTTCTTTTTTCATATTATGTTGCTGGCCCAACACTTAGGTGTTAAATTCTATACAGTTGATAATCAATTGTTTAATATTCCTTCCTCTAAATCAATTTTTCCATGACTCTTCTTAAACTTAGTCTCTATTTTGGCTCAAATGTTTATTTTTGAGAGAGAGAGAGAGAGAGAGAGAGAGACAGAGGGGCAGAGAGAGAAGGAATCACAGAATCTGAAGCAGGCTCCAGGCTCTGAGCTGTCAGCACAGAGCCTGACGCGGGGCTCGAACCCACGGACCGTGAGATCATGACCTGAGCTGAAGTCGGACGCTTAACCGACTGAGCCACCTAGGTACCCCTTGTGTTGCTATTCTTAAAGGAATCATACAGCATTAAAAAAATTCAGCAGCTTTAGCTAGTATCATTCTTGAAATGATCTGTGAGTGTATACAAAGATCTTCACAATAATTCTCCCATTCCTATATGCATGTCCTTTTGAAATGGGACTTTGCTGTTCTTCCCATCAAGAGGGGACTCTCTGCTGTCCTTTTGATCTACTCTGACTAATAGAATGTGGTAGAAGTGAGATCATGTAACTTCTGCAAGAGGTCTTATAGCTTCCTGTTTGTACCTGCCTGACATGCTGCCTACATATGAAGAAGCCCAGGCTAATCTCGAGGAAGAAAGGCTAGGGGGTAAGTACAGACAATAATCAATACCAACAACCAGTCAGGAGTGTGCCCAGTTAAGATGCCAGATGACTATATGCATGATCCCAGACAAGGCCAGCCGAAATCACTGATGTATAGAATTGAGAGTACATAAAATGGTTTTAAAGAACTATTTCTAGGGTGGTTTCTTATGCAGTAATAACGTGTACATGTGTGTGTGGATTTATGGTAGAATTTTCCTGCCTTGAAGATGAGACAATAATTTTAAACCATAAAATGGTCTTGGGTTAATCATTGGGATGTACTTCCAGACTTAGAGATCAAAAAGTTCCGTAAAGCTGTAATAATGTGTCACATAGGTTGTTGCAGTGAACAAGGAAAGGGGAAGACAGATAATTTTTCTGGGATGATTTGTGCAGAGTCGTTTTAGAGGTAGGATGATAATTCTAGATGTCCAAAGTCTAAGCTCTAGAGCCCTGTGAAATTTCAATTAAATTCTTGTGATTTAGCAACTCCATTTCCACTTAATAAACTTGTACATAGCATTTTAATACATTTCACAACTGACAGGATCTACTGGCTCATCTTTCACATACAGTGTGATCCAAAAATGGCTATGATGTGGAGGGGCGCCTGGGTGGCTCAGTCAGTTAAACGTCCAACTCTTGACTTCAGCTCAGGTCATGATCTTGTGGTTTATGAGTTTGAGCCCCACACCAGGCTCTGCACTGACCTCATGGAGCCTGCCTAGGATTCACTGCTCCCTCTCTCTCTGCCACTCCCCGCTTGCTCTCTTGGGAATAAACATTAAAAAAAAAAAGGCTATGATATAGTGTAGGCAACACAGAATAGGCAATACAGCATAAAGGCTAAGGTCATGAATTTCAGGAGCCATACTGCTTGGGTTCAAATGCTGGCTCAATTGTCTGTCAGCTGTATGTTTTTGCCTCAGTTTCCCTACCTGTAGAATGAAAGGATAACAAATCTCATTGAATTGTTGATAGGATTAAATGAGCTTTCTTGAGCTTAATACACTAATTAATAAATGTTGGATACTAGTATTGTTACAGAAGGCTCTGTTGCTCTGTTACCTTCAGCAAATCAGTTAATCTCTGTTTTCTCACTTACAAAATAAGGTTTACAAGATAATTTCCATGGTTTCTTTTTATATTTAAAATTCTATAATTCAATGTTCAATCTTTTACCCAGTGTTCAATATTTTACCCACACAAACATTCCAATCGTGTCCATAACTCTAATTTCTCAAAAATTGTTTAAAATTTATTCTATTAGCAAGCAGTTTTGGGGACCCTCTAGTACCAGGGTTACCCTCTAGGTTACTCAGGAAGCTAACCATTCTTTACTCATATGTGGTCAGCAAACATTTAGAACTCACATATCTGAAGCAGTGACTTTTCAGGTTTATGGCAACTTAAAATTGTATATTCATTTTTTAACTTGTGCTAAGTGTGCTTAAAAAGTAGGAAAAGAGGGGCGCCTGGGTGGCGCAGTCGGTTAAGCGTCCGACTTCAGCCAGGTCACGATCTCGCGGTCCGTGAGTTCGAGCCCCGCATCGGGCTCTGGGCTGATGGCTCAGAGCCTGGAGCCTGTTTCCGATTCTGTGTCTCCCTCTCTCTCTGCCCCTCGCCCGTTCATGCTCTGTCTCTCTCTGTCCCAAAAATAAATAAACGTTGAAAAAAAAAAAAAGTAGGAAAAGATCCTCTGAAAATGAAAATATTTCACCTTAAATTTTACCAAAGAACTCCAACGTTAAAAATTACTGTTCAGGTGTCACATTTTTTTCGATACGCTTAAGTATACTGGATACAATTAAATATTACACAAAATGATTTTTATTGGCTGCAAAACAAACACCGTCACATGGACGTACCATAATTTCTTTTACATATAAGTTGTGGCATTACATTTTAGTTTGACGTTGTGTGATGCTTCTTGACAATGGCACAGAAAAAAATGATCCAACATAACACTCATGTGACTGGTGTGTAAATGTACAGTACCTGGAATTCCTTTAAAAAGGTGGATCGCTTTCCTTCCTTTTCCTGTCACCCGTATAATCAAGCTGCTACAATCGTTCAAGACCTATGCAGATGCTCCGTTCAGTTTTTTTACAATAACAAGTTTATCAATTAATTACTGGACCGACCACAAACTTTCCTATGCATTTTGAAAGCAGATTTCAGCCACAGTTTGCTCTTCCAAAATACACACTGAGCCTACCTACTGCTAAACTGCTCTTTCAGGACCCAGCAAACCGACAATTTCGGCGCGAGGAGCTAACAATGCGAATGGGCTTTTTTCTCCCTTAAAATTTCCCGACCGTCGGTGGACACGTATTTGCTTGGAGAACCAGAATTCCGTTCCGGGCGGTGAGGAGGCAGCCTCTCCTGCCCCAAGAGACGGCCACACGGGTTTGCGGAATTTGACAGACGACCTCGATCTTCGGGGATTTTCCGAGCAGGACGCGGGCGCCGAAGAGGAGGGAAAGTGCATACTGCCCATGTGACGCACCTTCGCCTTCAGGTCCCAGAAGCGCAGTGCCGCTGCAGTCCATGCCGATCCTCCACCACTAGTTTTCCTCCCAAAGACCTGATGAAAACCACCGAGTTCTGGGAGGCACGCTTCGAAAATTGTTGGTTTTTCTTTTTTTAAAAATCGGCTTTTACCATTTTATAAGTGTGCTGACAATCTTTTCGGAGTCACCACTACTTACGGCTCACCCATTTGCCAACCTTTCCCTACAGTTCATTCCCGTGCTTTTCCAACCCTCCCAGGTTTGGTTCCACTCAAAGGAGAAAAGCGAGAGCAACAGTTTGGTCGCCCATCAGCCCGTCCGTCTCCCGGGCACAAACGACCCGGGGCTTCGGCTCTCCGTCGGCCCGCAGGAGGACGCGCGTACGAGGGGCCGGCCCGGGCCACCGGTCGCAGCCCGAGGGCCACCGGCCAAGGTTCCCTCGCCTGGCCCGGCCGCGGCGCGTAGCCTCCCCACAGGCCCGGGCGCCCGGCCGGGCGCATGCGCGCGGCGCTCCCGGGCGTGCCGGCCACACTCCCCCCACCCACTCGGAGAGCTTGTCACTTCCTGCCCTCGCCCCATCTCCGTCCGGGGTCAGTCAGTCGCTCCCTGTCGCTGCGGGAGTCTCTGCTTCCCCCTTCCTACCCGCTCCGCGGCGGTAGCTCAGGCTCTTCGGGGAGGGGGAGACGGAGAGAGAGAGAGAGACTGACTTAATAAAGTTTCCTGAAACAACAACTACTACCAAAAAAGGCCCAAGGTGGGGGGGACCCCCATTCTTCCCCGCCCTCTCCAAAAGCCTGAGGGACCGTTGCAGGTGGAGCGGCGCTGGGGGGAGCCGGGCTCCGGCGGCAGCCGTTGCCCCGGCGAGGGGCGCCCAGGTCCTGCCCGCTGTGGTTCCGGCTCCTTCGGTGGCGGCTGCGGCTTCTGCGGGGCGGTTCCTCCTGTCAACTGCCTGCGCCCGCGCGCCACCCGCCCGCCCAGCTCCACAGCGCGGAGGGACGCCGTGAGCCGCCGCCTCCGTCGCCGTCGCCTCGGGCCGCGGAGGGACGTGGTGAGCTGTGGCGCTTCCGCGTCAGCGCCGGCGGGGACTCTTTGGGAGCGCGTCGGGCCCGAACCCCGGTTCCCTTCGCGTGGTCCGCCGAGGCTGCGCCAGGTGGGGCCCGAAGCCGCCTCCCACGCCAGGCTGTCCCCGCGGCTGCCCGGCCTGCCTGCCTTCCTTCCTTCCGCCTGCCCGCCGGCCCGCCCTAGGAGTTAAGTAAGTTGGGCGCACTTGGTTATGGGGACGGGGGCTCCGCCGGAGAGACCCCAACGCACGTGCGTGGCGGGAGAGCGCGGCGAGGGCCGGCCCCCGGCGGGAGTCGCACCTCGGCCGCCCCTGTCGCCGCGCCCGCCGCCC